TCAGGTTGTTGGCATCCACAATGACCCGGTACTCAGGGGCTGCCTCAACTGGCCCTGTCACTGTGAGGACAGAGGGGAAATCATGAGGCCACGGACTCTCCCACTCAGGAAAGGAAACATCCGACTTGAGGGAACTGATGCAGAGTGAACAAGTACCAGAAGAAAAAGGACAATAACCACAGCCCTGGAAAGCCTTGAGGTCTCTGGTCAATGGAATGAGCAGGCCCTCCCTGTCCTGGCCCCCACCTCGGCTGAGGGGACAGACTCCATGCAGGAACGAGATCTGCTCCAACGCACACAGTGGTTCCAAGGGCTTTCTTTTTCTCCCCCCTCCCCCTGGGGAGGCAGGGAAATGGGAGGAGGCCTCCCTCAGGTTCCTCCTCTGGGGAATGAGGAGCTTGGCCCGAATGCTTCCAGCTATAGATGTGGGCTCTGTGTCCCTGGTGGGTAGCGGAATTTGGGAGCCAGACCCCAGGGTTCTGGCTGTCCGACCCTGAGGTCCCAAAATGGTGCTGCAGCATAGCCTTGAATTACAACTGGGAGGGACCCCAGGGGCCATCACAGCCAAACAGCCTCATTTCACAGGAGAACCAAAAAAGCCCCAAAAGGAGAAATGGCTTGTCCAAGGTCACCCAGGGAGTGGATGCTGGGAGTACGATTTGAACCCAGGTCCTTGGATTCTAAATCCTGTGCCTTTTGCCTTATGCTCCATGGCCTTGCAGGCCACATCACCCAAAGGGAGGGATGGGTTACCTTCAGAAGCCTTGGCCTGTTTGCTGACATACTCTTCAATCTTCACCATGATCTCAGCAAACTGAAAGAGGTAAAGGTTCAAGTCAGAGCCGCAGGCCTGGAGTGCCACATCATCCCCCCCGCCTTCTCTCCCCACTCACCATCTTGCTGTCCCATAGCTTGGCGATGCTCTTAACTGAGTCCCCTGAGAGGTCCAGCTGCATCTCCTCCTGGACATCTTCAATGGGAGGCTCCTCCTCCTCTTCTCCAAAGCTCCCCCCCTCTTCCTCCTCGGCCGCCTCCTCCAGGTCAGCCAGGAGCTCATCTGCTAGCGACATTCTGAGGCCTAGGACATTCCACCCCCAGGGGTCAAATCAAGTCGTCTTGTCCAACCCCTCAATTTTGTAAGAGAGGAGACCCATGAGCAGCCAGCCGCTGAGCTGCTAGTCAGAGTCTATGCTCGTATCCCATGGGGAAGGAGGAGGCCGGGCCTGCGGGCTAGGCCTGGTGACACCAATGGAGAAGGGGCAGACCCTGGCAAGGGACAGGCCATGGGACAAGGGTGTCTAGCTTGGGGTCAAAGGACACCACAGTAACAAAGAGCCAGGAAAAGCCAGCATGAGTGTGTGTATGCTGATAGGAAGGAGGGGAGTGGTAGAGTCAGATGGAATCTGGGATCTAGAGGCACAGACAACACTGAGCATAAGACATGGAGAAAGTAGAAATCAGAGCTGGGAGGAGCCTGGAGATCGGGTTTAACTAACGAGGGAAGAGACTTGGCCAAGGTCACAGGGCTGAAGAGGCAGAGCCAGAACTCCAGGCCAGTCACCTCGCTGGACTCCTTCTCCCAGGCCCCTGGGCCACAGAGAGGCAGGGACACAGGCACCACAGACACTGCCTTCCTCTTCCAGGCTTGCTACTCCTCCTGCCCTCTCGGCTGGGACTAGGCTGGGACTCAATCTGCTCAGGCAAACTCTCCTTCCCCTCTCAGCCCTCTCCTACACTCTTCCTTCTTCTTCCATGCAAAAAAAAGCTGGCTACTCCATCTCCATCCCTTCTTCCCTTCTTGCCCACCTCACACAGACTCCCTGGACCAGAAGGAGCGAGAGGGATGCAGACAGGTACACCCAAAGGGACAGACAGACGTAAGAGACAGAGATAAAGGTGCAGAAGGGCAGGCAAACAGACAGAAACAAGCACAGAGGGAGAGAAAAGTGGGGAGAAATACATGAAGAAAGTGACCAAATGCTTGAGTCCATGCCAGGTCGGGGGGGGTGGGGAACAGGACACATTCTGTAGGCAGGCAGAGATACGGATAAATCCTGAAGCAAAGTCATGAAAACAAGGAGAGAAAAAGCAACGCGTTGACAGAGAGACAGCTCTGTGGAAAAAAACGAGGGGTAGAGTAAAGAGAAACGGGCATGGGCAGGTCAAGGGGAAGGTGGGTCTGGAGGCAAAGCACACGGGGCAGATGGGACACACGTCCCCCAGGCAGGAACAGACGAAGAACCAGGGGGCTACAGACAGAGCTGGACAAGGCCCGGGGCAGGCAGCACAGGACTGGGCCCACTGCATCTAGAGCAGCTAGCCCCACCTGGCTTCACGGCGCCAGCGGGACGGCTGACCGTTGAGTGGCCGGCCACGCTCACCTCCGGCTCCCACAGCTTTTGGTCAGGGCTCAGCTCCCCATCTCAGGATGAGGCCCAAGAACTGAGATCTCCTGAGTGTAGTCACAGCATCAGTTCAGCCAGGCCCCAGGGGCCTGGTCACCAGGTATGCTCTCCAGCATCCTGGGACTATGGACAGCAGGAGGTCCCTGGACCTTCTCCCCTCACAGCTGGGACTCGGTCTGCTCAGGCAAACCCTCCTTCCCCTCTCAGCCCTCTCCCACACTCTTCCTTCCTCTTCCATGCAAAAAAAAAAAGCTGGCTACTCCATCTCCATCCCTTCTTCCCTTCTTGCCCACCTCACACAGACTCCCTAGGCCAGAAGGAGCGAGAGGGACCCACTTGCAGCAGCGCCCCCACCCCAACCCCTCGGTCTGCTGCCACCCCTTGAGGGTGGCTCTCAGGCTCCATCCCCCTCCTCCAAACTCATTTGCCCAGCCCTCAGGTCACTCTTCCTCCTTTCTAAAGACTTCCAGTACCTGGCTCCCATGCCAACTCATGCCCTCACATCCAAGAACTCCACATGTTCACATCTGCTCAAACACTCTTAGTTCTCACATCAACCTAAATCTGCCTTGACCTCCGGCACCAATGACTGCCAACATGCCCTCCTCTGCCGTCACTGGCCTTATCTCCTTGATTCTGAACTCCGGAGCTCTCTCCCCAGACATGGCTCAGATCCTTCGAGCTCTTCCCCCACCTCACTCCTCCACCTCCTAGAGAACAAAAAGCCCTTCGCCTCTCCCTGTTCTTCCAGGACATCGCCCCTGCCTACGTCTTCTGTCCTTTACAACTGCCCACTGTGTCCAGTCCTGAATGCCTCCCCCGCTCACACCAGGCCACACCTCAACCGTCAGTCCCACTGTTTTACCATAAACTGGTTTTCTTGTACCTCACCAGATCATCACAGCTGAATGCCTGCCTTTTTACCCCTGACTGCGCCCCTATCGCATTCCCTGCAGTGGCCATTCCAAACATGTTCTTCCTCAAGGCTTCTGCCCCAGCCTGCTCTCTCCCAAGTCGTCCCCAGGCACTCTTCTGTCGGGATCTCCCTCCATGACCTCCGCAGCTCCCATCTCTAGGATCCCAAATCCTGACGCCTCACTCTAGTCTCCCTCCCGAGACACAATCCCAAATCACCATCTGCCTGCTGGGCATCTCCAGTTGGGCGGGCCTCCAAGAGCCAGCTCAACATAGCCAAGACAGAACTGATTCACCTTCCCCTTTACCAAGCTTCAGTTCAAAAACTCCCAGACTGCTGGGTGGCACAGCAGAGAGCCCCCTCGCCCTGGGAGTCCAGAAAAACCTACATTTGGATCCTGCTTCAGACTCACACTAAGTTGTGTGGCCCTGGGCAAGTCACAAGCCTGCCTCAGTTTCCTCATCTGTAAAATGGGCGTGATAACACCTATCTCAAAGTGTCATGAGGGTCCAATGAGATGAGGCTGTCCTAGGTTAGCCACAATCACGGTTTGTCTACAGTGCCTGGTGGCCTCCATCGCTCCACTGCCCCAGTCACCTGGGGTCTCTGCTTGAACCCGGACACATTCCGTCCCCCATCTCTGTGTCTCTGCTCAGGTTCCCCACTTCCACTTCACAGACCCCCAGCTTCCTTCAAAGCACCCCCGGGGAAGTCTGCAGTCAGATGCCCTCGGCTGGAACCCTGGCTACCCCACCTATTGCCTGAGCAAGGCACTTAACATCTCTGGGCCTCAGTTGCCCCATCTGCAAAACCCATCATTCCTCCCCCATTTCTTCCTAACCTGCCCCTCCTCTAAACTGCCCCCATGGTCACCAAAGTCGGAGCCTGCCTCAGTTTCCCTCTTCGCCCCTTTCCCAAGCTCAGGCCAAGGCCTCTTGTTTCTACCTCTGCAGCATCTCCCCGGTGCAGGACCTCATCCCCTCATCCCGGACCACTGCCATAGCCTGCTAGAGGGGGTGGGGGGGGTCTTCCTGCCTCGATGCCCCCCGCCCTCGGCTGTCCAAGGGAAGCTGCCCTCTCCAGCCTGCCCTGGCCGTGCCAGAGGGGGCGGCTGACTGGGTGCACACCTCGGCCCTCCACCTCCCGCCTCCGCGCATTTGCACAGGGCCCGTTTCCCCGTCGCCGCCTCCGTGCAGCCAGCCCGGATTTGCCCCCGCGTTCGGCGCACTCTGCGAATCATCTCCGATTTATTTAAACGAGAACGCGTCGAGTCCCTAGAATGCAGGTTCCGGGGGGAGAGAAGACCTAGGCCGCCCTGGCCCCGCCGCCCCCAGCCCCCCAGGCCCCCAGCCCCCAGCCCCCAACCGTAGCTCGCTCACCGCCTCCTCACCAGCCGGTGCGGGATGTCTGTAGAAAGCGTCTCGGGAAAGTGACGTAACGCCCACCCGGCTCCACCTCGCGCATGCTCCAGGCCCTCAGAGGGGCGCACGGTTGTGACGACATCAGCAACCGCTGATTGGTTGCCCGGAAGAACCAATAAAAATCGGCGGCGGCGCCCAGAGAGGCGCGGGGGGGGGGGGGAACCAAGTGAAGCCGAACTACACTCGCGGGGCCCTCCGGCAACTCCGCAGGCCGGGTAGGTTGGAAGCCCTGCATGTTGGAGTCGCTGAGAGGGATGATGGCCTGGACCCCCGGGCCCCTGGCTCTCTGGATCCCCGCAGGGAGGCCAGAGACCCAGAGCCTTGGACCTTGGGGAGAACTGCAACTCCCAGGAGAAGCCAGGGCAGAGGCCTGGGCTGTGCAAGGGCCGGCTGCCCCGGGGCCTGCTGGGAGTTGTGGTCTCCCCGGCCGCTCCAGCCAAGACGGTGGCTGTAGGTGCGGGACGTGAGGTTGCTCCGGGGTTCCCAGAGGGAAAGGAGAGAAGGCCCGGGGAGGGAGCACCGGGGGGCCCCCAGAGGAGGTGACGAAAGGTCCCGGAAGGGAAGGCTGGGAGAGGGAGCACCGGGGCCCCGGAGGAGGGGGACGGAAGGCCCCGGGGGGGTTGGGGGGAAGGAAGTGGGGGAACAGGGTCCCCGAAATCAGGGCCCCTAACCAACCCTTTGCTCCCCGGCAGCGCCATGGCTGGCGTGGGCTTCGAGGAGTTCTCGGCGCCGCCGGGCTCGGAGCTGGCGCTGCCTCCGCTCTTCGGCGGGCACATCCTCGAGTCCGAGCTGGAAACGGAAGTGGAATTCGTCGGGGGAGCCCTGGGTGGGCCCGGGCTGCGCGAGCGGGAGGAGGAGGAGGAGGCGGCCCGGGGCCGACGGCGTCGCCAGCGAGAGCTGAGCCGCCGCAAGTACCAGGCGCTGGGCCGGCGCTGCCGGGAGATCGAGCAGGTGCGCCCCAGTCGGCTCGCAGACCTTGGGCTGGCCCTTTCCCTTCCATCGCCTCGGGGGAGGGAGCTTTCCTCCACCACCCCCGCCCCCCCATCCCTGCCTTTTAGACCCAGGCACTTCCAGGCTATGTCCAGATCCATCCCCCTAGAGGTCTAATCCTCTTCTCTGACCAGCCCTTCTAACTAACACTTGGGAGATGATGGCAGTCTTCATGTTTGCCTCCAGACCCTTCACAGCTCTGCATGAACTGAGATCTACCATGTCCCTCCCATCCAGTACTTGAGCCGTGAAAGACTTTACGTTTAGCAGCCTCTAGCCTGCCTTCTGGATCCCGTGTCTCCAAGGGTGATTCTAAACAACCTTGTGTGACTGCCCGGGTCCCTCACCCCCAAGCCTTACACCACCCCCAAGATGGTCTGATCAGTGACTCTCCAGTACTGTGACTAAATTACTTCCCTCTGATCCATTTCTCCTTTGTGAAAAGGTCCTTGGACTAAACAACTTTGAAACATTCCTTATCGGAGCTTATTTCCTGGGACTAAAATGTTGTTATAAATGGTAGTGGGATGTTCTGTCACACCTGAGGGAAGACCAAGGGAATGGGGGGAGGGAGGGAATCCTCCCTGATCTGATCTTTTCTGTCACCCTCAGGTGAATGAGCGGGTCTTGAATAGACTTCACCAGGTGCAGAGAATCACAAGGAGGCTCAGGCAAGAGCGAAGGTGAAGTTGAAAATTGGACCAGAACAGTGGGGGTATCTAAGGACAAAGTCTAGGGCTGGAAAGGCTCCCTTGCCAGAATTTTGGGGTAAAGGGGGATTTTAAGCCAAGATAAAACTATGAGCTCTCTGTCTGTGGAGACAGCAGCTAAGTAGGTCCTTGGAAGGTAAATTAATATTCCCCAAACAGTTCTGAGCATATAAATTCCCTGCTGGCAGATCTTACATGGCTTCCCATTGGCTTCAGGATATCATACAGGCTCCTCAGCCTGATATTTAAAGCCCCCCCCATATGTGGGCCCCCACCTGTTTCTCCAATCAGTTCCTGTTACTACTCTGTAAACACTCTGTGTTCCCACACGTCCCTCTCCCTTTTCCTCCTGCTTCAGTGCATTCTGGGAATGCTCTCCTTTCTGTCTCAGAATCTTTATGTTCCTTTTAAAGCTCAGGTGCCCCTTCTGACTTCCCACCTCCCTCCAGTTTCAGCATTCCCTCCAAATGGCCTCATGTTTACTTATGTCAGTCAGCAAGCATTTATTAAGTTACTGCTATGTGCTGGTCAGTGTGCCAAGCACTGGGGAGAAAGACAAAAAGTCATTACTCTCAAGGAGGGCACATTGGAATGGAAGAGGCTATATGCCAAGTAGATGGAACTTTCTGTGAGGGGAAGGCAGCTGGGAGGACTAGCATGCTAGGACTAATGGAGCAGGGGTGCCGAACCTACAGCATTAAGGCCACATGTGGCCTTCTAAATCCTTAAGTCCAGCCTTTTGACTGAATTCACATTTTACAGAACAAATCCTTCAGGCCCCATGTGGTCTTAGGGCTGCAGGCTCCCCACCCCTGAACTGGAGACTAAGGGACTGACTGTAGGAGCCACAGAGAGGACCCTAAGGTTTCCATCCTCAGAAGAGCTGGTCCATGAACAGCCAGAGTTAAGACTGAGGTTGCAGAAGGGAACTTGGGGAGTGAACTACACGTGCCATATACAGCATGTGGGTGGAGAGACCCTGAGAGATCAGACCCATCAACATCAACACAGTGAGAGGAGCTGGTCTGAAGACCCCTGAAAAAGCAGAGGGAAAACCAGGACTCAAATCCTGGCTGCTCCAGCTTCTCACTTCATAAGGCTTCCCCTGTCCTGGCCCCAGGTTTCTTATGCGAGTCCTGGATTCCTACGGAGATGACTACCGGAAGAGCCAGTTCACTATTGTCCTGGAGGTGAGGCCTTGGGCCGGAACCCTGGGCCACAGCGGGTGGAGAGACCATGGTCCTAGAAGGGGTGAACACTCTGTTCTTGCCTTGGTCCCACTCTAGGATGAGGGTAGCCAAGGCCCTGATGCCCCCACCCCAGGAAATGCAGAGAATGAGCCACCAGAAAAGGAAAGCCTGTCACCTCCCCCTCGGAGGCCCCCTGAGCCCAGCAGTCCCCCACCTGGGGAAGGCCCCAGTGGAAGAAAGAGACGGAGGGCCCCCCGGGATGGACGCCGAGGTGGGGTGTTGCTAACCCCAGAGCTAGGCCCGGGCCAGGTAAGCATGTAGAGATGAGGGGAATCAAGGCAAAAGTGGATTTTCAAAGGAATTCACCCTCCCCTTCTTTCTTTTCCCTCAGATCAAAGTGGAGGATGACTTTGGCTTCGAGGCAGATGAGGCCCTCACCACGGGATGGGTGGCCCGAGGCCCAGGCAAACTGCTTTCCTACCCCAGTTTGGCCAGCCCTCCCTTTGACATTACCCCCCAATAAAGCTTTGCCTCCCTCGAAGCCCTGGTGGAGACTCGCAGGATAAGACAAGGATGTTTATTTGGGGGGAGCAGATGGGGGGATTCACAGATTCTTCAGCCACTGGAGGGAAGGACCCTGGGGATCCTGAGGATGGCTGGGGATGTCAGGCATGTTGCCGTCATCTCGAACAGGAACTAGAGGTGGGAAGAAGAAAGGAGACTCATTGGCCTGGTCCTCTTCCCCCCCAGCCCCCAATCCCTGCTTCTCCCGAGGCCGGGGACTCACCGGGGTAGTTGTAAGGGGTAGCTCGGTTGACCATGCCTGTGTACTTGGTGTAGGGGCTTAAGGGAGGCACGAGCATAGCTGTAGGGGAGACGGCAGAATCAGGGCCTGGGGTCCTCGCTCTGAAGCAGCCGCTGCCCTCGAGGGGCTTACCGGGAGGCCAGAGCCGCGTCCGATCCTCGGATATGCGGGAGAGGGGGCGCCTTCCAGGCCCAGGGCAGAGGAAGGGGCACCAGGGCAATGACCGCCCCCCTTCCCCCCCCCGACGGTGACCTTGACCCTGGCCCTCCCCAAGCCCGGGACGTGGGGCTCACCCAAAGTGCCGATGGCGAAGGACGCGGTCAGCACCGGCTCCTTGGCCCAGATCTCCTTCAGGAACCGGCCCAGTCCTGGCAGGGAGAAGACGGGAAAGCCCCCGCTGACCTCTGAACTCCGCTCTGGCTAGACGTCACCCCTCCACGACCCCCGACCCCGCCATCCGTGATCCTGACCCCTACAGGGCCGACCACATACGCCCCGCTGCCCGGACCGCGGAACCCACCTCCTGCCCCAGGGCTGTTCGCGCCGCCCCGGCCCACCCTCCCCCCCGCGCGGACCCCCGAACCTCTCCCGGCCGCTGACACCCGCACTCACTGCCCGCCATGTTGGCCGCTTTCCCCGTCACCGCAGGGGCAGCTGGGATTGGTGGCAGTAGGAGCCAGGACGCATGCGTATCTGCCTGACCGGCTCCCCTTTTGTAGTGCGCATGTGCACGCCAGATTTGTTCTCTGCCCTCCCTCGGGCCAAAAGATACGTGCGTTTTGTGAATAGAGTGGGCGGAGCCAGACCGTAGGGAATCTCAGCCCTCTTCTTTCCACTGAAGATCTAAACGGAGCATGCGCACCTGGAGTCACCTGCATGGATTTGTGGCTCTTGGTCAAAGTTGACTGTAGACTTTGAAGCAGGCACATTGCTAGGTGGCACAGCAGATAAAACACCAGGCCTGGAGTCAGGAAGACCTGAGTTCAACTGTGGCTTCAGACATTTACTAGCTATATGATCTTAGGCAAGTCACGCAATCCAGTTGGCCTCAGTTTCCTCATCTGTAAAAAGAGCTGGAGAAGAAAATGGTAAACCCCTCCAGTATCTATCCCAAGGAAACCCCAAATGGGGTCACAAAGAGTCAGACACAACTGAACAGTATTTTAATTCCATGATTTTTTAATAAATACTACTTCTAAGAAATAGACAAATGTTGTAGCTCTTAAAGAGTGTACATTAATGACTGTTAGAGATATTGCAATGGATGTTGGTGAGAGGAAGTCAAGCATTTCAAGGACCACTCAAACCCATAATCAAACAGGATCAGTTGTCAGCTTAATTAATCCTCAGAAAACAAAAGGGACCTGGCAGCTGGAGAGGATGTTACAGGTCTATCCGAAGTTCCAGAAGTTGGAAGAACAACATGGGTGGTGGTGTGGTGGACGGCTGCTAATCACTGCCATGAAGAAAATACACTTGTCATGGGCAAGGTGATGCAAAAATTGGTAAAAGTTCATCTTGGTTTATGAAATTGTCTTTTTTATTCAAAACCATTATCAGAAGAAGTCTGACAGTCTGTAAGATCTAGGCATCTTCATCACGAAGTGAAACATTTACACTCCCACCTCCACCCCTAAAAAAGGTTTGTGGGTTAGGGTTTGGGTTTGTTTGGGTTTTCTTCCAAAAATTCTATATTTGTGTTTATTAATATTATATGCTTTATATTATTAATATACATATAGTTTAATGAATTTGAGTATAAAAGGATATCTTATGCTTTTTCTAGGTGATACATTTGCTATGGAGTTACTGAAGTCTTTCCCCCCACCATTTAATAATATTTTATTTTTTCTAATTACATTTAAAGATGGTTTTCAACATTCACTTTTATAAGATTTTGAGTTCCAAATTTTTTTCTCCCCTCTGTACCTCCCCTCCCCCCTTCCTAATTCAGCAAGCAATCTCATATGGGTTATACATGTACAATCATATTACATATATACTTCCACATTAGTCATGTTGTGAAACAGGAAACAGAGCAAAGGGAAAAGCCACACACACACACAAAAAGGTGAAAATAGTATGCTTTGATCTGCATTCAAACTCCATAGTTCTTTCTCTGGATGTGGATAGCATTTTCTATCATGAGTCTTCTGGAATTGGCTTGGATCATTGTATTGCTGAGAAGAGCTAAGTCTATCAAAAGTTAGTCATTACACAATGTGGCTGCTACTGTGTACAATGTTCTCCTGGTTCTGCTCACTTCACTCAACATCAGTTCATGTAAGTCTTTCCAGATTTTTCTGAAATCCACCTGCTCATCATTTCTTATGGAACAATAGTATTCCATTACATTCATATACCACAACTTGTTCAGCCATTCCCCAATTGATGGGCATCCCCTCAATTTCTAATTTTTTGCCATCACAAAAAGAGCTGCTTGGAACTTCCACTTCTGGGAGCCAAAATGGAGGAGCAAAAAGTAAGTTGCTCTCACCTTCCTTCACTGACCTCTAAAAGCCCAGAAAATATCGACCCAGGAAAAACCCTGAGACGGCAAAAAGAGAATGCACAGCAGTTTGTACCCCAGGAAGCTTGGGGGATTAACAGGAAAGGCCTTTCTTGCTCTGGAGGAGGGGGAGCAGTACAGGTTGGAGATGTCCCAGCAACCCAGTGACAAGTCTCACCTCAACATACCAGGGGTAGATTCTGAGACCCAGGGTGGTGGAACAGGCAAGTGCCAACACCAGGACCCCGAAGAGCCTCAATACAGGAAGGGGAACCAGTAGAAACCAGCTGAGAAAATGACCATGGGCATCAGTGTTCTCCAACAATGAAATAACCTGGGACAACTCTGGGAAGCACAACTCCAGAAGGAAAGCGCCAGGCTACCAGAAACCCACCAGCAACAAAGCATTCCTGTGCAAGGCCCAGGAGACCAGGAGCCAAACATTCAAATGCAAGGCCCCGGTGAGCAGGAAAAGAAGCTTGGGTAAGTTCCCCCTTCACTCCAGCAGGAGAACTCAACAGTTTTGTTTGTTTTTTTTGTTTTTGTAAAAAGTCAGAAAATAAGCAAACATCATGAATAAAAAGCAGAAACAGAAAATGACCATAGATTCTTATTTTGGGGAAAGGGAAGATCAAGGCACAAATTCAGAAGAGGACAACATTGTTAATATACCCACATATGAAACCTCAAAGGGGAATATGAACTGGTCTCAAGCCAAAAAAGCCTTCTTGGAAGAGCTCAAGGATTTTAAAAGTCAAATAAGAGATAGAGGCACAGTGGATAGAGCACTGGCCCTGAAGTCAAGAGGACCTGAGTTCAAATTCAGCCTCAGACCAAACACTTGACACTTAATAGTTCTGTGACCCTGGGCAAGTCTTTTAACCCCAATTGCCTTAAAAAAAAAGTCAAATAAGAGAGGTAGAAAAAAATTTGGGAAAAGAAATGAGAGGTATGCAAGACAGAGTCAATAGGTTGGAAAAGGAAGGACAAAAATTAACTCTAGAAAACAAGTCCTTAAAAAGTAAAATTGACCAAATGGAAAAGGAGGCACAAAATTTAATAGAAGAAAACAACTCCTTAAAAATTATAATGGGACAAGTGGAAGCTAATGACTCTATGAGAGAGCAAGAATCAGTCGAACAGAAACAAAAGAATGAAAAAGTACAAGAAAACATAAAATACCTCATTGGTAAAACAACTGACCTGGAAATTAGATCCAAGAGAGACAATTTAAAAATTATTGGTCTACCTGAAAACTATGTTGAAAAAAAAGAGCTTGGACAACATCCTTCAGGAAATCATCAAAGAAAACTGCCCTGAGATCCTAGGACCAGAAAGCAAATTAGTCATGGAAAGAATCTACCAATTACCTCCTGAAAGAGATCCCAAATTGAAAACACAAAGGAGTAGAGTAGCTAAATTCCAAAGCTACCAGATCAAAGAGAAAATACTGCAAGCAACTAGAAAGAAACAATTTAGATATCATGAAACCACAGTCAGGATCATGCAGGACCTTGCAGCTTCTACATTAAAAGATCAGGGTGCATGGAATACTATATTCTGTAAGTCAAAGGAGCTTGGATTACAACCAAGAATCAACTACCCAGCAAAAATGAGCATAATCTTTCAGGGTAAGAGATGGACATTCAAAAAAATAGGGAACTTCCACACCTTCCTGATGAAAAGACCAGAGCTCAACAAAAAATTTGACCTTCAAATACAAGACTCAGAGAAGTATGAAAAGGGAAACAGGGAAAAAAACAAGAGCATATTATCAATAAGGCAAACTGTTTACATCCCTACAAGGGAAGATGACACTTGTAACTCTTAAGAAGTGTAATGTCATTATGGCATTTGAAAGGGGACATACTTGGAGGGTGTGGGTTTAAGTTGACTTTGATATGATGGTAAAAAATCTAATTAAGTGGAGAAATGAGATTGTACTGGGAGAAGAAGAAAGGAGGAGGCAGACAAGGATAATCACATGAAAAGGCACAAAAACCAACCACAGTAGAGGGAAAGAAGGGAGGGAGATGAGCATTGTTTGAACCTTACTCTCATCACATTTGGTTCAAAGAGGGAATAACATGATCAGTTAGGTAAAGAAATCTAACGTACCCTATAGGAAGTAGAAAAGTGAAGAGAAAAGAAAAGGGAGAGGGCTAATACAAGTGAGGGCAGACCGAGGGAGATGGTGGTTGAAACCAAAATTCTACTGAGGAGGGAAAAGGAAAAATGAGAGAAAA